GAAACCCTGTCTCGAAAAGAAAGAAAGAAAGAAAGAAAGAAAGAAAGAAAGAAAGAAAGAAAGTATCTTGCACAAATATTTCCTCATATTGCTTCCTCATCCCAAAGCACAGAAAGCAATGTGATATCAAAGCCCTGTGGAACTCAGAGCAGGTGCTTGGATGGTATTTTCTCTCACTTAACAGTAATTTTCCAAAAAACATGCAATAAAGACCATCCAAAAGATGTGATCATTTGAGATTTCACAATAGAATCATGATTGAATGATAAGGAGTCATATTATGACAATAAAACAATGCATCATCCTGTCTTATTTAAGGTCCCATGAACAATAAAGTTTGTGATAATTATTATGGTCCATCAGGATTGGACAAATATTGACTGGTGAAAAGAAAGAAAGAAAGAAAGAAAGACAGAAAGAAAGAAAGAAAGAAAGATTCTTGACAGTAAGGCGAACATCCTGAGACCCAATAATATCAATTTAAAACAACAATGAAAGAATTGTACTCTGGGAAGGTGGAAAGGGCAAGAAAAAATGTGATGAACAAGAAGCAGGGTGTTCAGAATCAGAGAAAAGAGGAGAGAGAGATGCCCACAAGGCTTGGGGGAGAGAAGAGAGGAGAGATGCCCACAAGGCTTGAGGCAGTGAGTAGGGGGGCGCAGAAGAGAGAAGAGCTCTCTCTCTCTCTCTCTCTCTCTCTCTCTCTCTCTCTCTCTCTCTCTCTCTCTCCCTCTCTCTCTCTCTTTCCTTGAGAGAGGTTCTCTCTCTGTCACCCTAACTGTCTTGTATATAGACCAATAGACCAATTTGGACTCAAACTCATAGATATTTGCCTGCCCCTGCCTCCTGAATGCTGGGATTGATGCTGTGTTTCAACACCTGGATATTTCTTTTCCTTTCTTTTGTCTTCTTTCCTTTTCCTTCCTTCCTTCCTTCCTTCCTTCCTTCCTTCCTGACTACCTACCTGCCTTCCTCTCATCTTTTTTTGTTTTATATTCTGTTACTTTTCCTATTTGTAAATAGAGGGCAAAAATAACCCTTGAAAACTTAAATATTCAAAATTACTCTTTCTGATTTCAGAAGTTAAGCACCATGAGGCAGTAAGGAGTGTGTTAAGGACATGGTGGGAAGCCCAGTGTCAAAGCCCCCATCTCCACTGTACTAAACTGATAGGAGCCTGTGCTCTCCTGAGACTCAGGTCAGTATTTTGAGACTATAACAAGGAATTAAATTGTGTGCAAAGTTGTTTAGAGGTAAATTATGTCATTGTTCATCAATAAGCATTAAGCATCTCCAAGTCATAGCTTTATACATGAGCTTCAGGATGTTAAATATGTTCCATTCTGGAATGAGAGATGTCGGAGCTTAATCTTAGCACAATTGTCCTAGTGTTAAACTGTTGCATTTTCTTCTTTTATTGTTACTGTATTTGGAGAAGACGAGAAAGAGAAACCCAATGAGAAAAGAAATAAAAAGAAATAAAAAGGAGACATCCTGCATATGAGCCAATGTAAAGGATGGTGGGAGTTAAGGAGACTCGGATAAATAGCAATTAGATTTGTAGAAGAAAAAGAAGAATCAAGAGTGCTAAAAGTTGGTAGTAATTTAACATACATTTTAAAGTCACAAGCCTTTTCCAAAAACGGCCAGCAGAGGTCGCCATGTTAGGTGAGTTTGCTTTGCAGCCCTGGTTCTTAACGTTTATTGGACAACATTCCCTTTATCTATGACTGAAAGGGGGTGGGATTAATAACGCACATCTTGGCAGTAATAAACTGCACTAAATATGAGTAAGGGGGTGTAGGTGTGTCTGTGGAAGCTGTCTCCAGAGCGCCCCTACCCAGCTGAGCGTTTGTGCCCAGAAAAATTAATATATTGATGAAAGTACCTATTTTACTCAATTCCCCTTAGAAATTCAAATCCCTGCCTTTACATCTGCGTTTGACTGAAATTGTGAGAGAATCTTTCTTTGAGAAGACGAATAGGCGATGACGCGAAACTAATGGAATGTGGAAAAGAGAAAGGTCTCCATTTATGAATCTTGTTTCTCAGAGATTTAGTTTTTAATTTGTACATTTTTGAAGTGCTTACGCTTTATAGAGTATTTCTAAAATTAATGGATGCGCTAAGAGTTGGATTTTTCAAAGTGCTCCTAGTGACAACATGTTTTCAAGAACCAAAGAAGGGGAAATTACAAAATAAATAAATAAATAAAATGAGCGGCTATTCGGCGTTTGAGTCTACAAAATTCCTACAGAGGGCGCTGTTGCCCGTTCAATGAAGGAGGGAATGCTCCCTAGGAGAGGTTTGCCTGAAATAGCTGGAGTGGTTTTGTTGTTGTTGTTTTTGCAAAATGCTATATCGCAGAATTAACAAGAGTTTCTATTAACATTATACATTTCTTTGGGTAGTTATCATGTATGTATGTATGTGTGCAAATGTTTTAAGTTTGTTTTATTCTTAATAAAACCGGACTTATTTTTAATGTTCTGTGAAAAAAAACTTAGATAATTTTTACAAATATCAAGTACATTCCTACTTTTAAAAATATCTAATATAAAACTTAGATAATTTTTACAAATATCAAGTACATTCCTACTTTTAAAAAGATCTCAGAGTAGGATAAAATAAAACACAAATGAAAGTTTGAAATTCTAAATAAATGAAGCTACAAAATAATCAGATTAGCACAGTACACTACCTATTTAACTAGTTTCATATGTAAAATTATACCTTCAGTTTTATTAAACCTTCAAGTTTATTTCGGATTAGTCAATGATATGTCCAAAGCGATTTAAAGAATTAACACATTTAGGGGAAAAAATAAGTTTTTCCAAATACTTTTTTTTTTTTTTTGGTTTTGGTTGAAGTTATCTATAATTAAGAGCTAGCAGTTTTGACGATTTGAAAGGGAGATGGGAATTATTCTTGTTATTAAGTTTGTGTCTTGAGAATTTTAATTTCCAAATCTATAATACCTATCTTTCAAAGTATCAACCAAAAGCTGATTTTAGTTCTAGGAGTGGGGGGGGGGCACGTTAAGTCCTTCCACACAATGACATCAAGAGGAATGGTGTCCTGTCTCCTAACCATCTCTGGTGGCGAAAGGGGACATGTCTGTTGACACGGAAGACTGGCCTGGTTTTGTGGTTAAGATGACTTTTTGAAGAGGGGGAGGAAAGAAGAAAAAGGGGAAGAGCGAAGGAGAAAGAAGCTGAAAGGGGGAGAGAAGGGGGAAAGATTTAAGGGTGGGGACAAGGAAGAAAGGAAGAAGGGCAAGGAAATCCAACAGGGAATAGAGAAAGGATGTGTTTCTCAAGAGTTCTGTCTGAAGCACGCTGCGTTTCCTTCATTTGGCTTACGGTAAATTAATAACGATGATAGCAACAGCAACAACAATAATAGATTTGCAGAAATGTTCGTTGTGAAAGGAAGGAGTCCTCAGCTTGTGTCACGAAATCGCTGTCTTCCTAGGCTAAAAGGAGCCCTCTGCTTGCGGAGCCTCCGACCCTGCGGAGCCCTGAGGTGCACAGGAGTCCGGGGTTTAAAGACAATGCCCTTTACAGATTCACTCTCATCAGGTTTAATAACTTCCACCCCAAATTACCCCAACCCTCCTCATTCCCTTCTGTCATTTATTTTCTGCCCCAGGGGCCAAGATCTTCTTCAATGCCTCCCTACTGGCTCCAGGGAACCTTCCGCACCCAGAAAGAGAGTAGAAAAACAGCAGAGGGGGTAGGAAGGTGGGGATGAGGGAAAGCTAGTGAATATAGAATTTCTGGTGAAATTAAAAAAAAAAAAAACTGTGTCTTAAAAGGCACCCATTTGAGGCTAGTTTTGCTTTATTCTTGCTATTATTTGTGCTTAAAAAAATAAACTAAACTACACAAATCACATATTCGAAAGAAAATTTACCCCCAAACCAACCTGACCAAACAAAATGAACTCTTGTACATTTCGCAGCATTTCCTTAAAGAGTATAAAGCTTAAACCTTGTTAAAGATTCTGCTGTCCATCCTTTTAATCTAGCAGGGTAAAATCACAAATTACAGACAACAAAAACAAATGAAAAATGTCCTGCACCTCTGTTAAAAGTCTCAAAATTAGCATTGTGGGCTTTGTTGTTTCCAACACGTGAAGAAGAAGAAGAAGAAGAAAAAAAAACTTGATAAAAAGGAGACTTCAGGCAAACAGAAAGGCATATAGGATCCACTGAAAATACATCACCATTCCAAAGCAACAAGCAACACAGACTGCAGGGTCCACAAGATACTCAAGTTACCAAATGTGTTAGTCAAAATGAAGAAAAATATCAGAAATCATTGTGGTAAATAGCTTTTGTTGCTATTGTAGTTGCTCTACAATGATGCTGTGGTTTTTAATATTTGTACAGCTATAATACGGAAAAATAGCTCTAAAAATCAAGGAATCTAGATTTAAAAAAAAATACTCTTCTGAACACAGAGGAATAGGAAATTTGTGTTCTAAAAATCCTAATAATGGTCCCTTAAAAAAAAAAACGTAGAAAATTAGGGGGCTGATGTCTCTCATTATCAATTGTTAAAAGACTTTAGTTGCTAGTTTTAATGATTCGCCATTTTCAAAATAGAGATTAAAAAAAACAATTATATTCCCTTTAAATACCCGTTCAGTCTGTGGGTTCTGTGACCTAGGGTTGTTTATGTAGTTAAATGTGGGTATCTGTGTGTAAATTCGTGTTTATGATTTTTTATAATATATATGTGTGTGTGCATGTGTGTATGTGTGTGTGTGTGTGTGTATGTGTGTGTGTGCGTGCGCGCATTGTATCTAAGTCCTGTGTGCAATAATGTTTTTCTGTCTGCTGAGGCTTACTTCTCCAGCCTATTGTTTGAGACAACAGATATAAGTTGCGATGGGAGAGGAGCGTCGGATTTGGTGTGTATCCCCCATTTCCAATTATAGATGGATCATTACAGACAGCGGAGTCCTGAGAAGCCAGACATCTGCTCCTCACATGAATGCACTCACCTCCTAGAGACCAGGCTGCCATCATGCTCTGGAAACTCGTGGAGAATGTCAAGTACGAAGACATCTATGAGGTGAGCGGACACCCCCAGATACATTTTAGAGCTTTGTACATAGAAAACTGGAACTTCTTGACACCCCAGTTGACAGATTTTTAAGATATTTACTTGTAGATTTCCGGTCGGGTTTCTGAGGTTTCTTTAAGTTTTCCTAGGATGGTTCTAGGAGACTTCGCTCTCCTGAAGGGGGACTTCAGAGGCTGGAATCTGGCAACTTTAATTTAGGAGCTATTTTTCTTTTCTCCTTTTTCTTTCTCTCCGGATCTCTCCTCCCCCTTGTAGGCTCTGATGGGGAACGTGGAGCCACTGAATTTAGGTAGACAGGCAGAGAAAAACATTCTCCCCTCAGTTTGAGTTCGGGAGAGAATCGGATTTTCAAGCTTCAGTCCAACTCGGGCTTTGGATTTTTTTTTTTTTTTTTTACTTTTAATAAATTTTCTGAAATCGCTAACTAACGAATCCAGGTAGAGGTTAAATATCTACGGTGAGAGAAGGGAAAGGACGGGTGTGTGAACAGATAGAGTACAGTGTGGAGAGAGGGAGCGGGTTGTTATTTTTGGTTTTTGTGTGTGTGTTTTGCTTCTTTGCGGGTCTGTGGGTCCAAGCAAAAATAGTAACCGCCAGCGTGTGGGCATTTTTAACGAAGTCTGCCCACACCTAGTGCACCCGGCTACCAGTGCCCGGGAGAGCGCATCCCTCCCGGGCTTCGACCTCCGCCTCCTCGGACTCCTCTGTTGGCTTCCGGAGTCCGTGTCGAGCGAGGTTGCCGCATTGCCGGATG